CAAATGTATTTACACCGAATTTGAATATTTTAACTTTTTAGCATTTTAAAGTAAACTAGTTACCAGTCGTGAAGTGAACTTTCGCAGAGGTGAACAACTTGTGTTTCGCGCGCTCATATGACCTTAGCAGTTGCGAGCGCCGTAAAACCTTATACTGCTACTACTACATGTGGTGGCTGAGCACCCTTTCACGTTACCATGTACTCCACCAGAACTACCCTTAAGTTGTGTTCATTGACAAGATGTGCCGGTCCCTTACTTACTTACTTGGTTGGAAAATACGCATCTTTGCAGGTGGCACAATGCCATAGCTACTCCTCCCTCCTCTCCAGGATCCATGAAAGGATTTGCCTGCTGATCGTGCCAGGTAACAGCTGGTTGGATATTCTTCTGGCTTTTCCATGCAGGTTGTTGTCTCTCCCCAACCCTCTAGAAACTCCAGCTTCCCTAAGTCTATCCATTGTTTGTGAAGTGGTGCCTTCAACCTCTCTGTGGTCGTTGAACTATACTGTCAATGCTGCCATCACTGTTGGTTGGTCTAATTGCATGGTGCAGCCAATCTCCGCCTGGCCAGCTAGCTTGTCAGCACGTTCATTGCCTTGAACTCCTGCATGACCAGGGTTATAGATCCATACAATCCTTGTGAGTCTGCTGCTTTGTATTTTTTGTATTGCCTCTCGCCAGTCTGGGAACTCATCAGGTCGGTGACGAGGATTGCAGACTAATGCTCCATCGTCTTAATCCAGTTAAGGTCTTCTGTGATGGCTTTCAACTCCATGCACATGCTGGACGTGGTTATACTAGTGCCGCCTGACAGCTCTCTCTGTATCACCCCCTTTACACGGGCGCTGAAAGCCCATCCAGATTTGACATCACACTGTACTGATCCATCTGTGAAGATGACTACGTCGCCCTGTTCAATGTTCTCCTCTATCAGCATCTCTACCTCGGCATTGGCTGCTCCCTCTGGCCACTCACGACATTCTCTGCTGAAGGTTGCTACCACTTGAGTATACTGCCCAGGTGTGTCAGTGACACTGACCCCTTCATAGCATTTAATCAAAGTCGTCGCTGCCTCATTCATCCATTCAGTCCCTCTAAGCAGACGCGTGCGTACAGTTATCTTCCCACTTTATCATGCAGTGGGTGCTGATCATCGGCGCTGACTCTCAAATACGCTTTCACCTGAGCAATCTTGTGACGTTCTACCATGGCTGGGAGGTCCAGGAGATAATGATATCCTCGCAGGATGTGTCTCATGCGCACCCGAAAACAGTCCGCATACCTTCGTTCTGAATTCTTTCAAGGCATTTCAGCTGTGACGTTGACAAGGTGAGGAGACCAAGGCCATAGTCTATCACGGACAGCTCAAGAGTCTGGTATAGTATGTCTAAAGTTCTCTGTGGCATTCTGCTACGCCCCATGGTTTTCAGTGCAGTCAGACCTTTTCTGGCTTTTGTGATGATTCTGGTTATGTGATATTTACCTGAGAGTGATATATGTCAAAGGTAATACCTAGATACCTCAGTGAGTGCACACGCTTCAGGACCCTGTCGTTGATGGTGACTGTGGGCACCTCTGCTTTCACCACGTTGTTGTTCATCGAGCACCACAGCACACAGGCCTTGTCGGGGTGGAGTTTGCCGTTGTGGTCTACACACCATTGCCTAATTCGGTCCTGCTCAATTCGATCCAGCTCCTGTTGCATGGCGTTATCTGTTTCTTGCCGGTCCTTACCCTATCTGTATACAAGAACATCATCCACCACACTCAACACACGCCCTGGGCCTTCCAGTTGTCCAGAAGTGATTCCAACTGTGTATAATATGTTGAATAACACTGGTGAGAGTGATGATCCCTGTGGCAACCCCGGTGTGATGCGGTGGCTGTATTGTGGGTCTCTCTCATTTGCAGTGTCTGGTGTACTCTGGGAGTACCATCAATGGGCAGTCCCTGGCAGTCCGGGATAATCTGTGGTACTAAGTGACCTGCCTGCTTCATGACATACTGATATCATCTCATGTCAGAAGGGCTCATTTATGAAGATGAACCTCAGTAAAAGTAAAGTTACTTACCTGGTGATCGAGTTGCTTTTTATATATATATATATAATTAATTATAACTCCTTGCTCAAAGCATCAGCAAGCTTATTTTCAATCAAGTCAGTCGCTTGTAGACGTTGTTTAAGGGCCCCTTGTAGCCTCTTTTCTTTACCTCTGTTGTTTCTGTCTCTCTGTCTTGCTTCTTCCTTGCACTAAATGACAGTGTACAGTGTCAATGTGCTTCTCTTTACACGCAAACTCAAAACTCAATCATGCTTTGACTTAACTTTATTTTTTTTCCAGAAATACTATCCCCCGGAATTTGACCCTTCGAAGATCCCAAAGCTGAAACAGCCAAGAAACAGAACTTTTAGCATCCGAATCATGGCCCCCTTCAACATGAGGTAATTTTTAAAGTTAAAGTAGAAGGGGGCTCTCGTGGCCTGAGGTTAAGGTGTTTGCCTCTCATTCAAAAGTCCCTGAAAAATTTTTTACTCTAAAATTATCTCCTTTCATCTCTTTTCTCTCTTCTATCAATGTTCTGTCGTCTGCTTTCGTCTTCACTTTCTGACCCCACCCTGTCACCTCCTTTGCCCCCTCCTCTGGGCTTTTGACTCTTTCTGCAGCCTTTCTACTGCTACTCTTTGGCTCCTTCTTACTGCTGTCTTTCAGCCACACCCCTGATCTTCTGGTAGGAAAGATCTACACCTGCCTTCTGGGACAAGGGCGAAAAAATCTTGGAGGTCCCGTGTGCAAGTTGCACACTTTAAAGATCCCTTGGTGGTTTTAGATTGATAAGAGTAGGCTTCGGCTGCCATCCGGGCAAAATTCAAAATTTCCTCGTGTTGCGAGCGCCGTAAAACACTTACATAAAATTACCCCCC